TATATATATATGGCTCATATAGGCTCATTTGGTTTTATACCATCGCCACATTCATTAACAGGAGAGGGAAAAAGATTATCCATTTATGTAAGATCTTATTAAGCATTTATGAATAAATTCATAGTAGTTATGAAAGTGAAAGTATATCTCTTTTTGCATATTTGAGTTGTATATGATAATCGTTGCAGTAATCGTCTGAAGTGAAAATTAGTCAGATTAAAGGTGAATGCCATTAACAGTAAGTGTTATTGTTAAGAAGACGAAACAGTCGGATATCGGTGAAATAGTTGTTGTTGATATTGACAGTCAAGTGCTGCAAACATCTCATAATGATCTCAGTGATCTTCCATCCGAAGTTATCGCTTTTCTGCGGCATCAGTTGCGATCTTCATCACAAATCTTCGTATCAGACGCTTTTGCACGCTCCTTTCTAAGGTTATTTATTACTGTTATTATTATTAATTGTTATCAATTGCATCATCACGAGATTTCATTCAAATTGAGTGAATACATATCTTATCATATTTTTCGTCATATCTCTTGTCATCTTCTAGCACTTGTCGTGGCCTACAAATTATTTTTCCATTTGTAGGCTTTAATTTCCCCTTAAAACATAACTCTTTGCGTAACATAACTATATATATGCGTATGTGATGGTATTTTCGATAATAAACAAGGATTTCTTTTTTTTCGGTAGCAAAGAAAAAGAATTAGTCGAAATTGTTTAATAAAATGGAAAAAAATTTCAGAACGAATGTTTTTTTGTTCGGTGGGTATCGTCTAGGTTTAACGTTTGGTTCATCTTCAAAAGTCACTTGGAATCGTGAGAAGTTTGTCCAGAGCCAACGAGCTTCACTGCAACCTTTTTTAAGATCGTTACTCGGTCAGGATGGTGTTCAGTATTTGGAAAGGGTTTGTTTGTATTGTAGACGATTGCTTGTTCATTTGCATCGCATTTGATCAGATTTGTTTGCACTTCGCTTCGATTTGGTTATCAATTTAGACTGATTGTTTTATTGAATCGATGTAATCGGTTTTTACCCAAATCTGTGTTGTTCAGCTTAGAATATTTTCAGTTTATCGAGGAGCGATTAGAAGCACTTAATAAAGGTGTTCCAATCGATGATGAGTTCGAGAGGGAATCTCGATTGTTTGATTCGAATACTAAGCAGCATCCCTTGAAAGCATCAAATTTGGTAGCAATTGTTTACAATTGTTTCATTATGAATTGATTCATTTTAAAAAGAATTGTAATTTATTTATTTTTTGTTATGTTTCATTTCTGAACGGAATTGAAGAGGAGTCATCAGGTAAAAATATCATCAAATTATAGTAATGCTCTTTTTTATAGACGAATCCAGAAGTATTGCAACAAGCCGTTTCAACGGTTTGTTCTTTAAACTTTATTTCTGTTATGCCAGTTGCTTGTCTTATGTATGTGTATCATGATGTGAATAACAAAATTCTTAACATAAACAATTGTGGTTTAAGATGAAGGAAAACGCAACCGATGTGCTTGGTGCGATTAAAGATAAGATGCATTCAATATCGGTATGATTTAGTGGGTTGCTTTTATAACATCCGAAAAAAAGAAATTAATCACTATCAATTGTAATTCATGACTTAATGAGTTAGTTAAGACACATTCATTTGTAAATTTATTATTTGGAAGTATGAAATGAAATTTATAGTTCAAAGAGCGGTTGGGTCGTTTAACTCCAAAAGAGATGCGTCGATCACCAATGTCAATTTCAACATCAAATAAATACGTAGCTCATTGGGATGATGAAGATGATGACGATAACGATAACGATAAAAATAATGCATCAGGATTGTCATTTGTTGATGCCCAGTCATGGTTGATTAACAACTACAACAAAACTGGTGGCGAAGATTACTCAAGTGCCCAGGCTACGCAGCCGACTAGCAGTTTTACTGTCGACCATTTGAACGAGCGTCGTGATGATGGTTGTGAACAACATTTACCATCTGTAGGTTCTTTTGGTGTTAAGTTGATTATTACTGTTATGCTTTGAATGCACTTATTATTATTGTGGATATTTTGATAGGGCCGCCTAATCAAATACAATTCTGAAATGAACAGTTGCTCAAAAGCAAGGTCTTGATCGAATTTCAGAAAGATGCACGGCAAGAATCATCTTCGTCAGATTTAATTGATTTGCGCAGCAGTTCAGAAAGTGACGACCGAAGTGAGTTATCATTATTTTTAAAAGCATGTCCGAGTGAACCGTCTGGCAGTAAAGATGCTCCGCCTGAGTTCATTGATCAACCGTCATCATCAACAGTGTCGAACAATACTCATCTAAACTCCAACGCGAAACCACTTCATTCTACCGTTATTCATGATATTACCTCAAGTTCATCCTTGCAGTCCACTGCAAATGGACAGTGCTTCAGTGATAAAGGTTGTAACGATGGAACAACTTTCCATAACGATCCATTCAATTTTGATCTTTTTACATCGTTTAATACTTCTCGACCGAATTCATACGATCAACCCTCAGATAATACAAACACTAGCACTGCCATTTTTGCTCGTCAACAATGGGAACGTTTCGATTAGTTTACTTACTTTTTATTTGTTGTTCATCCACTCAATATATTTGTAAATTATTATTGTTTATAAGATTTTGTTCAACGGATTATTCATTATATGAAAAGATTCACATGTAAGATTGTCGACATTGTTGTTCGTTAAATCACATATACTTTGAACATTTTAAAATTTGTTTGAAGACTGCATATTGCATATTTCCCTCAGCTTCAAGCCAGAATTATGTTGAATCGATTCGGAATAAATTGAAGGTAATAGTGATACGGATAAAATATTCGATAATATCGTGTGAAATGAATTAAGCATTGAGCTGATTCGAATGTGTTATGATTATAGAACACTTATACTTTCATCAGATATTGTGTCATATATCGTTTGTTTTCGTTTATATTTGTGCAATCCGTTTACTTGTCATTATTATAATTTTTAAATTGTCGTTAAAAAGAAGAATCCAAGGTATGTTTTTATGAAGTTTCCAACAAGTATTTGATAACATTGGATTATTCATCCATCTTGGAATACGCGTATTGGTAATTCTTCGTCGTACAATCGACCATCGAAAGAGGGTAGCAGTATCACTCGATTCTGAATCAGTACGTTTTCAGTGGTCAGTTTGCACTAATAAAAGTGGATCGCTACCATGATCCATCACCCATCTGTGTGCTTTTTATGGTCGTTTCCATCTGCATTATCATCATTACTCTACAAAATTGTATATAGTTGTAGATGCCGAGCGTTGTCACATAGTATCTACGGTTGCTTGCGTTCGTAATTCAGATTAAACGCGCACCCCTCAATATCAGCATTGCCACCTAGCAGTGTCCTCTGCTCAAGTGGCAGGTGCCTGCTGCTTGCACAAACACGCAGTGCGCGCGGCCAGTTAGCCAATGCAAGTGTCGTATTTGTGCCTGCCACATGATATTTCGTGTGTTTGTTTCTCTGTAGAGTGTTGTGTGTTGGTCATGTGAGGGGCGTGTATTAATCAATGCTGCGTTGTGGTTTGTTTTTGCGTCGTACCGGTGTGTGTCAAGCGATCGATGCTACCCACTCGCCTGCCTGCCTAGTGGCATTTCCATCCTACNTGCGTATGTGCTCGTGCGTGTGGTCAGACTTATGCGTGGCGTGTTTAGGTTGATGTTTAGTGTAGTTATAGTTGTAGTGCTTGCTAGTAGTAGTAGTAGTAGTGCTAGTAGTAGTAGTAGTAGTAGTATTTTCTACAATATATCTTCTCGGATGACATCAATATCAAAACTGCAATAATAATAATAATTTTAGCTGAACCATGCAGAGATACGTACGTTTGTAAACATAAGTAAGTTGGTGATGGTCACATCGCAGTTGCTTAAACCCATTATGTACTAGAGCATGACTGGTCCTTCGTGCTGACTGCGGTTATTATCCAGCCGCAACTGTGTTTTGCTATCAAAAAGATCATGATGCGTTGTTGCATCGTCGACTGAAACTTTTCTACCGTCAATATTATATTGCTTTCATCTCGCCTAAGGCCTGGGAGGCGGTTGTGGTACTGCGCTGGTATGTTGTTAGAATTAATCATACCCGTAATTGCCATGACTGTTTCCCAGACTTTCATTCGTTTTCGCCACAGCTCCCGTGGAATGACCTTGACCGTATCAGAATTAAATTCAACTCTATCACAGTTTCATCAGTCCCAGTACCCCTGTGATAATTCATCCGTTATTTGACTAATCCTATTGAGTTAATTATCAACCGATCTCAAGATTGATATGTAGGAGCGGATGAGATCTTCTGATGGAAGTGATTGTTGTTGTTAATAGCTTGCGAAACGATACCCTTCTGAACTGAGTGTTCCAAAGGTTTCGACTTTGTTGACACTGCTGTTAATGTGCAAACTTTGGAAATGTATTGTATTTATAACGTGGATTGTTTTGATCAATTACTATCGTTCAAAGAATTTATTGATAGCTTCCAAATGTTAATTTTTGCGGGATACAATTTAACATCTCGGAAAAAAAGAACTATGCTGTCAAAGTTTACTCAGACAAAAACAGTTGAACGCAATTGACGAAAATGGCTGACATCAACGTAGTGTGCACCTCAACGATTTCTAGTCGGCCCTCACACACGCATCGTAGTCAAATTGAACGTCGTTTGGACTTCAATCAGTCCTACATTTCAGGAATATTGTAAAAGTGCTTCACTCCTAACCTCACTTTGACTATCAATCCGCTCACAATTTGACTGTTTTCTCGGCAGAGCAATGACGGGATTATGTTAAGCTAGAATCATACCCGTATGTTTCTCAGTCGCGAAGCATGTTAGTAGCTCGGAATCCTGCAGCCGTTATACTGAAACAGGCGAGATGAAAATGAGTTGTCCATATGTGACATTCAATTACCCTCAATACTGTCGTCTTTAATTATGCGGGTTGGTAATCAGAACATATCATACTTAAATATATTCTGATCATATCGCCATTATCTGTTTTAGAAGGCAACACAGATGCTAAAGCTTCTGAATATGTTGTGGTGACCATATTCATGAATTCTTTTGAAAGGTGAATGGAAAAAAAGTGTATGATTGTTGAGCATGTGCGACTCATCGACGAAACCATCAGTGCCAGTCAGATCAACAATGCTGTGCTTGTGCTCTACATTTGAAAATTACTGTAAATGATATGATGAACAAAGCTTCTGTCATATTATCCGACTAAAAAACACCAACATAGTACTGTTTATTTCGGTCCAGTAATGATTCTGTTTTGTTTATATGTTGAAGTGATGAAAATGTGATAATAAAAACGTTTATTTGATGTATCGAGTTCAGCAAGATTTCGTAAGTCCATACCAGACATACTAGTTCATCTGTGAACATGATAAGTAAACGTTTCATAAGTAATCATCAGCATCACTCGTGGGTTTTCCTCGCCTTCGTTTTACCCTCATGGAAAGTTGTTTTCGTCGTTCGGAAGGGCGGCTGGATTCAGTGATAATTTTGGTCATTTGAATGGATCCATCTCGTCCCTTGGAGCTTACACGAGAGATAGGCGGCTGTTAGTCGTTGTCGCACTAATGAACAACCTTTGTCGTGCAAGGCGTATGATGTTTAGGACAGCGTGAGCAAATACGTAATGTTGTCAACAATTTACAAATTACACTCTCAAAGCGAAAGTCAGCGTTGCGAACTGTACTGTGAATTAATGATGAGGAATGATCAAATGCCAACTGTGGCGTAATGACACTGCACTATTCTACTACTTTATTGCCGAAATCTGTAAAATGTGGGTAATTTTTGTGCCCTCTAAAACCCTTGTGGGGCAGAATGACTCAATTGCAATTCGCCTAATCTTGCGCACCTGGAAGTCTGTTTTAAGCGAATGAAACAAAGTATCGGAGTTGGATGTGACCGTCTGCCTACCATATTTTTTGCTAGCAAATACTTAAGGCCTGTGAGTAGGTGTTGTGTATTAGGATGCGTAGCGCTCTATAAATCGTTAGCGTTCGACGATTTAGCAGATTGAATTACTCAGCAGATCTATGACATTAGTATACGCATTGCTAGCATAAGCTAGACAACTAATTTTGTAGTTTAGGTCAGTAAAATTAAAGCGCATACGTATTCGCAGTTGAATGTGCAGTGTAGCTAGAGCTTACTTAGCAACAAAAAAAATAAGAACCGCTCGCAGTGGGATGCCCATGAGCTCAATAGGTCCGCAAAATGAATTCAAGGGGTTCCACCATTTGTTCATAACAATGGAAAATAACAGAAGTACTGCTTACAGTGAAGTAAGATGCTAAACAAGCTGCCAAAACAGTTGTACGGATTCATTTGGATTAGATTTGAAGTAGGATCAGTTAGAGCAGGGCTCCTTAATCGGGGGTGTTCGCACCCTTGAAAGGTGCGAGATGGTATTTCAGGGGGCACGAAATAAGGTTTTATTTTTTTGTTGATTAAATAGGCGAGGACGCAGTTCAGCGCATACCTGTGTGTAAAATAGGCGAGGATGGACTTCAACGTATATATTGTTGAAAAAGCTAAAACGCACTTTTGAAATTTTCTAAGGGGTGCGGGGAGGAAAAAGATCGAGAATCACTGAGCTAGAATAACATCGTTCATTTGCTATTACTTCATTCCAATTTGCTGTTTATCACTCATTGTCTATTTTGTTGTTAATTTCCTTTAACAATAAATTAATCGCCTTCACGTGAAATTATCGTTGTTTCTTTCTTGTTGAATTCGTCAGTTTCCATCAAACCTAGATTTAGGCTTATTTTTGTCGTGTTTTCCACGACAAAAAAAGCAAGAAATCGCGATATCAGGTTCGTAAAGACAGGTAATGGGATGATCAAATGGTGAGAATTAATAGTCCATCAAGGAAAGGTTGAGCGGTTATTTGGTAACAGTCCCCTTCCTCAAGTTACTCTCTCGTGGTGGCCGTCTGCCAAAGAGGATTGATTACCTTGGAAAACAAATCATTGAGTTCGAGGTCTACCAAGAGAATCAATAAAACAGTAAGAGATTTAGACATATAGGCACGAATAGCTTAGAAGAAAGAGAAGAAGAAGAAGCAGTTGAAGAAAACATCATTTATGACGAGGCGGCATTAGACCCAGTTGGTGACATTCAATTTATGGACAATGCTAGGTGTACTCTAAATTTACTATATGAAAACAAGCAAAAGCAATGGAGTTGCTCTCAAAGTTACAAACGACCAATGCAAACTGCAACAGACGACACATCAAGCTACCAAAATCAGATTATCGGATAACATATTGAAATGGTCATCATTCGAAGCAGCAGTAGATCAGTAGCCGATACCAGAGATCAACAAGTAAAATTGTTTTTTGAATGGTCTGAAGTAGTGTGGTGCGGGGACGGAAAAAAGTCGGGGACAGGGAAAATCGGGGACGAGATTTTCTAGTCGGGGACCTCGAAAATATGGTCGACTTGAAAAAAGTCGGGATTTGGAGTCGACGTCCTCGAAATTCCCCGATCCCCGCACCACACTAGTCTGAAGGGTCCGGCTCATG